TATTACAATACCTTAACTATTAACTATTGATTCTGTGCGCGTATACAGGATTGATGAAAAAAAGAATTATAAAATCGAAGCTTATATTTTACATTATATATAAAATGTGAACCACCATTACAAAAAATGTTCACCTCCATTTTTTTTCTACAGCAATTCAAATTTTGATTTTTAGAAATTTTGAATAGGTATACTTAAAGACCACAATTATTAACTATTTAGATTTGTTATGTATTGAAAAAGTGTCCAGTGGCGATATAAGCTTTTTTACGTGTACAAAAACGTGAATGTCAAATGACGGATTACTAATATGATGTTATATCATATAATAAACGATTTATTTTTTATGGAAATTCGGTTTTTCAGTGTACCCAAAGTTATCGTTAGTTTACATGTAGTAATCTTGAAACGTTTATTCACGTCGAATACAAACAGCTAAAATTATAAAAACTGCTAAAAAAACATTCCTTCAGTACCTACCTTTTTATATGTATTCATATCGAAGTGATCAAGAACACAAGTGAAATTAATAATGTTTTTGCTCTTCCGAAAACGCAACTATACACATAATATATTGTTCATAAAAAGTTGTGTAGTGACTTATTGATGTCTTTAAACTTTCAATAATGGTACGCCCATAGTATTATACACAATACATATATTTATAGCAACATTATAACGTCTTTGTTTTAATCGCAAACGTATATTATAGCACGGTAATGTGAGTTTATTACTTTGCGTTATTAAAATGTCACATTTTTTCACACGTTCTGTTCACAAATTATAAGCACTGAACTTGTTAGTTTATATGATTGTAACATATTGATATTTATTATTTTGTAATTAAAATATCATGGCATTCACTTTGGAGTGTCAAATTAATGAACCATGATATGAATAATATTTTTGTAAATTAATCAGATCGATTTTGTGCTATAATCGATTAATACATTTTATACCTGATGATGATTTTTAACAACAAACTCTAAAGACATGATAAATAACGGTCGTAAACTCGTAAGTAATATTTGTGTTTTAAACGGCCAACCTACTGCAAAATATTTTTATTTCTCAGATAAGCCATAGTTTTTTATTTTATAACCGTTTAAATTGTACAGATAAGTCGTTTACCTAATAAGCCAGGTTAAGTACAATAATATAACAAAATTAAGAGCACGGATTTCTGTTTTGAAATCAAAATTTGATAATAATTTTGACAATAAATTACTATATACTATTGTAATGGCGAGAAGAACGTCATAAGCCACAGCAAAACGTTGGTTTCACTTGTATTACAAATTTTCCAAGCAAAAGATCTTGAAAATAAAATTTTAATTACCTATAGATAATGATTAAAATTAATACTTACCTAGCAATCACTCTGTATGTATGCAAATAGGACCTATCTCTCGATGAATGCAATAATATTGTTATAACACGTACGAAAATTTTAGCCCTCAGTAAAATTAATTAAATATGTCTCGTAGTAGGGTAGTTAAAACAGTGAGATAATATAATTTTGTAATGTATATATTATTTACAGGGTTATACTATTTGATTAAGTATGTGTGTTATTTTCACATTACTCACAGAGTTACATTGAAACGGTGTTGAAATAAGTAAGTGGAAGTGATTGCGATGGAGAGATTAGAGAAAGAAAATATTATGAAAATCCTACAGTTAATTCAAGCGTTAATAACTGGTTTTTTTTTTTTTTATAACGTGGACGGTGGCAGAAAAAATCCATTTAAAAAAAAACTTGTTGTCCACGTGCGTAAATTTTTCCATCAGACTTGTTCACCCACGTTCCTTTTTCAACGGCTCAACAAGTTTTCATATAACCAAAATGAATCATCCAGAACTATCTTATACAGAGAGATTCACTTAGTATGTTTTTCCCAATTTTCGCAGTTTATACTGCATATATTCAAAAATTGATTTAATTAGAATTTTAAAATGCACATATAACTTAAGATCATAATTCAAAATTATTGAGATTTTTTCTACTACTGTGTGTCTTGTGGTGAAACAAACATTTAGTTTAAAAATAAGAACTCTGATTTTTTATTGAACATGGTTAGGTGTAAACTGTTTTGAAAATATTTATGTATTAATTCAAAATATAAACGAAATATCTTCGTTATTAAAATACTTATAACATGTTAAGAATAGTTATCATTTTAAATGGTTTAAAAAAATATATTTTATATGTATTATAATATCAAACTATTTTAACAAATTATAAATATTGATAAATTGATATCAATAACTAAATATTTAAAATTATCATACTGCCTATTTATATCTTTCAAACATGTTATTATTATTATTTTTATTTTTATTATTATTATTATTATTATAGATTGTTAAGATTAAAAAACTCAAAAACTACTTGTTTGAAGTTTGTTTTTTTTTTTAAGTCGATATTTTCAGAAAATTATCCATTTAATATTTTAAGTAGAAAAGGAGGTTCTCAAATTAAAAAAAATAAAAGTTTGTATCTTCATATAAAACCTCATAATTATTACAAAGTACTCTAAGTATATTAAAAAGTTCCAAAAAAAAAAAAAGGTTTTGAACAACTGTATTATTAAAGAAAAAAGGGGATGAGCATATTTGGTAAAGCACTCTAAAATAAATTATAATAATATTGTACTAATCAAAGTTTCGAGTTCGATGCACTTAGATAAATGAATGCGTGCAATAAATAATTTTATAATCATTAAGTAAAAATCACGGAATGAAATTGACCAAAATAAAATATGTTATTATTTTGGTGATAAAGGGGTGACATTTCAATTTTCATATTATATAAGGTTGCTAAATAACGGGCCAAACTTTTCGATAACCTTCACTTGTAAACTTTTTTCTCTTTTCAATATTATATTATTCTATTTGATTTGTATTTTTATTTTTATATGAAAAAACTGTGCTCATAAAGAAATATTTATTCATAAAATTACCTTACAATACTCAATACATAATAATTTATATTTTTACTATTTATTACATTATATGAATTATTTTAGTTTTGGCTAGTTCGGCATTTTTTCATTCACGCTGCAGAAGATTTTTATTTATAATATTAAACGTATAGAATATAATAAATTTCTTACTCTACTAAACATTATTTTAAGTAAAATTTTACACCATACAAAGGTTTAAAACAAAGATTAGGTCATCATTTTTTTTAAATGCAATCAACTGTAAATTTACAGTTTCTTATTTTGTATTAAAAAATTTAATTTAAATATTATTGATATCTTGTTAAATGATTTTCGTAAAAGTGTAAAAGAAAAATAAATTAATTTCATATTGAAAAATTGATAATAATCGATAATAAAATAAATATATATCTATTTATTTTTTAGAATAATCAATCTAAAACTATGAAATTTTTGTGGTTTGATTTTTGGTTAGGTATGAAAAAAAGGAGAAGGCAAAAGGGATTAAATTAATTTTCAGTTAAAAATTTGTATGTCTTATTTTATTATCTATTCAATGATATTAATTCGTAGTAAGTGGAAATATTTCAAAATTCAATCCCATAGGAAGTAATAATAATATATAGTAAAATTAACTTATCTTAAAGTTCAAGAGACCAAGAAAATTATGTGATAATAACCGATATGCATAACAACCAAATATAAGTATACATATTATATATTACAAAACTGTTAAAATTGTATTAGATTTCTATCCTAGTTATTTCCATTATCAATAAATAAAATACATTTTAAGAACAAATTGAAAAACAAGTCTGTTGTTTTTTGTTTATTACAGTATTTTTTAACTATATAAACATTTTGTTATATTTTTGTTTAAACTTGAGAAAAATATTGTTTCAGAACATATATTTAGCCATATAATTTGACACTGATTATTTACTTTTCATAACATGAATAAAATATCTGTCTAAGTTCACAAATAATTTACGTCATAACAACCGATAAAATTAAGATATATTAGTAATATAGTAGTTTTGCAGAAATCTTTATATTTATGTTCTAAACCTAAAATTTCATGAAATCCGGTGTAATTTTAAACTATTTATTCTGTAATCTTGTATATCTTCAGCTTGTAATTAGAGCACGTAAACAAAATGTAATTCATGAGATAACGCACATAGTGGAATCAATGAATCTCGAAAATGTTGATATCACGGGGAAAAAACTCAACATCGTGACTTAATCTACACTTTTCTATAAATACATCATTTTAGTTCTTGCCGATGGTATTGAATAATATTCCAATTTTTAAAAGATATGAAACAGGTAAACCTATATCAAATTTCTTTTGTGACAATACACGCTTATTTGACTGACATTTTAAACAGCTATATATATATATAATACGAGCTCAATGATACTCATACAATAATATTGGATAAGCCTTAAAATTTATCTTTTCGATGTCTGCTATTGACAACGATGTCTATAATGACATCCAACTTGTGGAATTTTGAACAGACGTAAAAAAACTCAACTCCGATTATATGTATCATATCACGAGTGTACGTTTATAGTTAGAACACAAGTATAGCTATAGGTATATAAAATAGTTGTATTATATTGTATATTATGTATGTGCGGATTGTATTAATATGTCACGTTCAGTAGTCGATCCGTTCGCGACTGAATCTGATGATTTTATTCAAAAATTTCAAAAAAAAAAAAAAAAAATTTTATGGATGATATTTAAAATACGACATTTAACCTTTTAGGTTGATTATGTTTGTCAACGGGATCAGAGGGGAATAAAGGTAAAAATATGAGATTTGTAATTCTAAACGATACAAATATTAAACAAAATTCTTTGTTGTTTTATTCTTTTTTCGTTTAGTTTTTATTTTATTTATTATTATTATTTTTTTTTTAATCATACTATATTGAAATTGTAAATCCATTAATATTATAATACATAGAAAAATAAACCCTTTTATGTATACTTGTGGAATAGTCATACATAATTAGTATTGACGTTTTAACCTATCATTGCAGGTCCCCCAGTAGAGGTCGGAGTCACCATGTATGTTCTCAGTATAAGCTCCGTGTCCGAAGTACTCATGGTACAAATAACCTAATAATAATAATAAAATATTTTTTTTGTTTTAAAACGTTTTTGTTATTTTTAAATTTTTGACATTAATCATATGATACGAAATAATATGATTTTGTTTATTTTTAAGAGTGTTTCTATATTCGTATAATATATTATGTTGTATTAATCGATATTATAATATGTCTCAAATATAATATTAATATTTATATATTATATATATGTATGTAATACGCATACATATTTAAAGGCTTACATAATATTATGTGTTTATATGTATGCTGTATATACGTATAACAGGCTGATCGAAAATTCACGACGGCAATTTTCTAATGAAAATATGCAAAATTGAGAAAATCGTATAAATGGAAATATGTTATTATATTAATCAAAAATTATGAAACTGAGTAACAACTTATAAAGATCCTGATTTCTTACGTTAAAAATGTATATTCTCGTTTCTAAGCTTGTTATATTACATGGTTTATCAGATTTAATTTAGAGGAGTTTGAAAAAAAATCTCTCAAGCAATAATTATTGCATTTATTTTAACGCTTTAATCGTATTATAATAATATAATATTCTTCTCCATTTCGAATATTCATGTTGAAGAACATTGCTGGAAAACGAAATTTTGATCATACTGTATACATATGTATATATATACATACACAGGCGTATAATATTATCATTATTTTTGAATTGTTTTTATTATTTTGTGTTCCAATAATACGTCCGTTTGAACAGACGCTTTCTTTTGCTTATTATTTTGTTTCAAAACATAATGTTTGAACGACTCGTGGAAACATGAAACAATATAATATTATATTTTATTTACAATGTCGTTTTTTTAGCGAGCCAATTTTATCGTTATTATTGACTTTATAATTATTTAAGTTATGATTCGTCATAACTAAAAATCGCTACGAAAACTACGAAAGGAACCAAATGACGTTCCCTGCATGCAATTCTGGTGCTTGACAATTGCGGTGTCCACATAACCATCTGCGTCACCATAATATGCGTACGACGCTTTGTTATTATTTGATAACATGTGTTTATCAAAACTAAAATAATAAATTCTATCATATCGTATGTTGTACAGTGGTCGAAGTTGATCAAAACAAATGGGAGGGATGGCTAGTAACAATATTATAGGTTATTATTTGTGCTTAATGGTTACTACCGAATCGGAACGATTTTACATGCCGTCGCAGCAATACATTTATGTTTCGTTTCATTAAAAAAAAAAAAAAATCAATGATCAATGGCAGTCTACATTATTTGCAAAGAAAATGTTTGATTGACGCAGCATATTATTGTATACATTATTATCGTTGCATAATTGTAGTGTGACTTCGAATCGACACTTAATAATTATTATGAACGAGTCAGCGATCAAGCAATTATTATTATCAGATTAATAATATAGCTCGATCGGTAATTATACGTACTTTTTGAGCTATAGCGAAATGGAGGTTGTGATAGTACAAACACGATTTGTATTGATTTAATACGTATTTATATTGCTTAGTAAATTATTTGTTGACGTACATTTTTTTATTCTTTAGTCTATCCATTAGCGTGTAAAAATCATGACGAGGAAGTTTATCTATTCATCACTGTTAATAATATTTCGTTATGAAAACTGACCGGAAATCAATTTGGAGGCTACCGATGATTGACGAACAATTAAACTACATATTAAAGTAGTATTAAGTTCTAGAAATTCCTTAATTTAAATAATCCAAAATATCTGTCACGTCTCAAAGAGAGACTGAATTGAATGACACCACACAAGAGATTTCCTATACATAACTATAATATGAAGAAGATCGGTCACGAAAATAATAATAATATAATACATGTATATGTTATACAAAACGTGTGTAACGAAATCAAAACATGTGTAACTGTATAAAAATGTAATACTTACGATAGTTTTCCGCAGAAATATCCAAATAATTATTTTTTGTTCTGTAGAATGGCATTGAACATGATTTCATGACAAAAACCCTGACTCGTATAATTATTTATTCTCCTTCATAATACTATGCGAACGGTCCCCGTGACGTACATTATTAAATCATTTTCAAAAGCACCGATGTCGATCAATCGCCGTCACTGGACCTAATCTTAAAATAATAATATACGAACCGGAACGCCACAAAAACTAGTGTGGTGATCCCGTTAAAATTGTATTTTGAACGCAAACGATTCTGTACGAAGCGAAATTCAAACTATCCAATACGTTCTAACTATTAACAAGGAAGGTCACAAGTCGACCGCATCAAGATTTCGAGTCGAACGCGACACCCTTAATTTTTCTTAGAATTTTTTTCAAATTACAATCTTGTACTTAACTCACACATGAGCGAGATAGATGACGGTAAAAAAAAACATATATTATACCAAATATTCACTCTGAAATTTTTATTTAACCGCCAAAATAATTCTGTTTGTCAGTTATCATTGTTTAAAATTTGGAGAGAACATTGTTTTTATAGTGTAAGTATCTTTTTGAAAATGTAAAAAAAATCAAAACCTTTAGGGTGACGAGGGCGTTGGCAAAATTTGTGTGATTAAATTTACTCGATACTCAGTAGGTATTAATGCTCTTTGATACAATTTGTGAAACACGCTTATCCATTACTATAGATTCTCGAATCGTCATGATATCTTATCATAAGAAAACTATTGAAATGCGAGAAGTTGTGAGAAATAGCGCCATGTATTTTTGTATAACTCCGTTCAATGTTCCGAAAAATAGCATCAATGATAATATAACGGTATACGTAATATATATTATGGTTATAGTCATAATATGTATGTAGTATATTATAATATACGTGTGGGTTTGTTGGATTTTATTATTATTATTATTAGTTTCTTTTGTCGCAATATTTTCTCGAGTCTCGTTATTATTGCACCGCCATCGAAAAGTTTACCAGTACAGAAATATCACGCTAGACCGAATTCGCGGCGCCTAAAACACAATGCAACAACACATATCATTATAAGATAATAATAATAATAATATTGCATTACGACATGATTTATACAATGTACACAGACGCAAACGGTGCGCGTCACACTGTTATTTGCGATCACATCACACGCCGTTATACATTGTGTACATTAGCTATAACGACTCTTTTATGGGTCCAATAACGATGTCATGCATCGTAATAACATTATTATTATAATTTTATTTATAATAAAGTCGTGCACGTCGGCGGCAATGCTCGATCATAGTTGTTTGGCGAGACACGAGCACTCAGCTGAGACCGCGATCTCCGTCGTCGAAGTCCTCTTAGGTGCATTTTTTTGTTCACGCGCGACGCTATGCTATTTATATTAGTATGTTTATCGTCGTAATACGTCATACGTAAAACGTGTCGATCAAATTTCATCGTCGATCAGATGGACGCGAAAGGTGTGTTACATGATATAATGACGTCTAGCGTAAATAAATAAATAAATATATATAATAAAATTATGTATATAATGAGTAAAGAAACGCTTGTGAGTGATGTTTCTTTCTATTATTAATATTTTTTTCCCTTCGCTCTAAACCCCCGATTAAGGTCGTGTTTGTACATCGAATAGACGTTCCACCAACGACCGAGTGTCAAAAAACACAAACACCCTTCACTCGAGTTGTTCTATATAATGTGCGTGTAATATACACCGATTTTGCGTTTGTATATTATTTCTGCGCGTGTTGGATTCTAGCAAAACTGTTTATTGCACATCGCAAAAGTTTATAAAAATGACGTCATTGTCAACAAGCGAAAATCCCGGACAGCATGATTTTATAACAGTCATTCGTGTTACAGGCATTTTATTGTATTAGCAAGGCTATAATTAACTAATTTTAATATCTCGTTTGAATAAGGTTTAAATAGAAAAAATATTAAGTTAATTAACCTTACATAATAATTAAATTGATTTTCTAATTAATAACTCGCATATCGTGGTAATAAAAAAATTCGCTGGGATGAAAGTTACATTTAAAAAAAATGTAATGCAACGTTATGTAACTTAGTTAAAAGAAACTTCATTATTTAAATTTAATTTAATTTTATAAATCGTTAATAATTGCCAGTCTTATTTATGCATATTGGAGTATCAAATTTACGATCTACACAGAAAGTAATTTTTTAATAATCCTTCCGTAGCCGGCCGAATTTAATTTCACATGTATTCTCGGTGATGAGTTTAATTAAAAATGAATAAATAAAGGTCCTTATTGACACCGACCACAAACTTATTTTTCTTATTATGTCATCGTTGCCCATTTCGGTATTTGAAGTTATAGTACCTATAATTATATTCAAGTTTCAATTCGTAATATTTTTCCTAGCATAATATTTAACGTAAAAACGTTAAATTAAGCACGAAAACCAACAGATAAAAAAACCGTGACCGTCTGGTATTAAAAAATACATATTCTCATCATAAATATTTGTTTTCACGACCAAAAATAGAATGCGTATCTATCATAATTTAGGTAAAATGAAATTGTATATTTTAATATTTGGAGACGCGACACGGATTGAATCGTTTGTACTTATTGTGCAATTGGATAAAACGTTTTTGATTAATGTAAATTATAAATGCGTTCGATAAAATATTTTAATTAAAATCTAGACGAGGATTACAATATAAACTGACTGTTATGTAACGACAATATATTAATTTATCAAATGAAACCTGATATGTGTATTTATATATTATTACGTCGTATTAAGTCAGATCAAAGGCTACGTATAGTCTATTATGTAGTGTACCTTTTATCTTATTTTAATTGATTCTTGTCATAATAGTTTACATTAATCACGATTTACTGAAAAATTTCCAGAATTGGGCCTAGCTCAACTTTAAGTCACGACACGGCAACGATGTAGCTATAAACTCGGCTTTAATGTATTATTTATCATACTGTCTATAAGAGACTTTTAGCACATTTTTTGTTTTGATTGTGATTCTTGTGATGTATTAGGTGGTTTAACAGAAGTATGTTCAAAATCTGACGTATAATATCCCTTAAATTTTCACGTTTACTAATTGCAAAATATATTTTCCATTCTATCAATACCAAGAGATCACGTTCGATGTTTGTGGTTCGACAATTCCGAAACACCTTAATTATTTTCGTGCGCAGTCCTTCAATCTTATAAAATGGAAAATTCATAAAATTATTATGGTTTAATACTATATGTAAACAAAGATTATTTTTATCATGAACTATGGGTAGGTTTATTATTGTTATTATGAACGCTAAGTGGCCCGCAAGTGGACCAAGACGGTGATTCCAATTAGCGTACAGTCGCAAATTTGAATACGGGCGCCATCTCTTTCTCTTTAAGCAAGCAACCAAACACCTTCCCTCAAACATAACTTAAACTTACGGATGTCTTGGTAAAATTTCTAAGAAAAAAAAAGGATAAAAAAATGAAAATGAATTATTATCATAATGAACGAACACTGAACGTTCATAATGTTATAGTACTGGTACACCTAATACAATAAACAATTTGTTTGATTTATGTGGAATAGCAGACAATATAACGATACACAGTAAAATTACCTATGTATAATATTATTAAATGATGATATCGCATGTTTTGATGCATGACGTAGATTGCAATTAATACACGCCATGGTTTTTCGCGTCAAAGCATGATGTCGAAAAAATTTAAAATAAAAAACGAACAATTGTTCTAAAACTGTTTCAATCTGCGGGAAGTATACAATATTATAAAATATTATTCAATAAGGTGATTCTTTTGTCGTTTTTATATCTTAGAAAATACGAGGGGTATTTCGATTTTAAGCTTTAAGGATAAATTATACTGAACGACCAAAAAAAAAAAAAAAATGTCGAATGATATAACATCACGTCTTTGAACGCTTAAAAAAAAAAAAAAAAAAAAAAAACAAATAATTAATTGATTTGAAAAAAATTCTTCGTGTATGCTAAGATATTGGTTCGTTTACGACGAGAGCATCACCGCGCATAAAATGTATATACATTATACACACATACTTATGCATAATAATGCACGATAAACCTACGAAAGACCTTAGCGTGTGCATTTTAATTCTTAGCCCTGTTGCATGTCTTACCCATCTATTATACTTGTATTTTACATTGTTATCATTGTTATTATTATCATTATTATTAATTATTATTATTATTATTGTTATTATTACTATTATTATTATTATACTTGATCTCACAGTAATATTTGTTCACTTATATAGTATAATCATAATATAATATTGTGACGAACGAAAATATTAGTTACGTATCGTTACCATTACGATATATAATATATATTAGACAATAATATTATAGTAGTAATGAATACTATATTTTTGGATACTTTCAAACGTCTTGGTGAAATTTCTGCGTATAATTTGACTTTGAAAAAATGAATTTATTTTCCGCTTACGTATAACTTACGGTTACGGTTATCACATCAATTAAAAAAAAAAACCTACTTCAACGTAGAATACTACAATGACTTGTAGTTTTATGAACTTTCCGACACATTATTATTAAGCTCTGTCGTTAGCGGTGAGTTAAATTCGAGTAAAAATTCTTAAAGAACCGGAAGGAACGCTAATCTTTTGATCAATCAGCTGTTCAAGAACCATTCGCGATCTCTTTAGACGTTTGATCGTATCAGGTCCGGCCGACCAATGACTTAGACGATCGTAGATCGTAGTTTATCGTTAAATTTCATAAACTCAGTCTTGTAGAGCACTCGTGTAAAAGTATTCTAATAATTCTTAAATAATACTATATAAGGTATTTTCAATATTTTTTAAAAGTGCCCAAATTTAAAATTAATTACCAACTTTTTAAATATTTTTTTCATATTAAATTTTCTATTTTCAATTGAATCACGTAAAACAATAATAAAAAAATGTGGTTTTTTTTGGCTTCTAAATTAAAACAAAATATAATCAAAAAATATAAAGTTATTGGTAAATACCTAGATGTAAATTATTTTTTTGAGTATCTATGTATGTACTTGAATACTTTTAAAACGTACTTTTTACAAGACTGTTATCATAGTAATTTATTATATTATCATTCTAATATACCAATACGCGTATATAATAGATCACATTAAAATATCTATACTTACCATATACTCACTATCACCGTCGTTGTTCGCGAATTTTGCAGGACTTTACGCTGGACTTTTACTTCAGACAGTTCTGGACCGATCCCCGGTTAGCGTTCACTAAGCGGCAGGGTGTCGAGACCCTATCTGTGGGATCGGAATTCATCAAGAATATCTGGGTGCCTGACACGTTCTTCGTTAACGAGAAGCAGTCGTACTTCCACATAGCGACCACCAGTAACGAATTCATCCGGATACACCATTCGGGGAGCATAACGCGGAGCATTCGGTAACTACATAATGCATCACGACTATATTATATTATTATAATAATAAGTACTAGAGGGCTCTGATAAATTTCCATTTTCAACCATTTCTGATATTCCTGGGAAATTTTCTCCGTAACCCATGTTTCACTCTCCTTCTTTGCATCCTAAAATGTTATATCTGTAATTCAATATATACTTACTTTTTTTTCATTCTTAATTTTCACAGCCTAACCATCACCGCGTCATGTCCCATGAATTTGCAGTACTTCCCGATGGACCGACAATTGTGCCACATCGAGATTGAGAGCTGTAAGATTAATAATTTTTTTTTTTTTTTTACAAACCGTTGTCGTACAAATAGCAACCACCACGTATATTATATTATATAAAAAATAAACGGTGTTGTTTTTAAACTGTATAATAATAATATGCTAGGCGCTAGCTACGACGAATGACGGTTTTAAAATATATGATAATATAAATCTAAAAACCTATGATGTGTAATAATAAATTTCGTTTTTCATCTGACGAGTGTTTTTCTTTTTCTGTCTTATTTTTAGTCGGATACACGATGAGGGACATCAGGTATAAATGGAATAAGGGACCAAACTCGGTGGGCGTGTCCAACGAAGTGTCTTTGCCGCAGTTCAAAGTGCTCGGGCACCGTCAGCGAGCGATGGAAATAAGCTTGACTACGGGTACGACGATCGATAAACGATCAATAATAATAATTGATAGTTTGTAGCTGGGGCGTGGGACCCTTTTCGGCCATTCTGTAATAACTGTTTTCAGTCAGTAAACTATTTTGGTCACAAATGTAAGATTTTATTTCTGTTGCCGATTTTTATTGTAAACATATATTTATTATATTTATTTTGTCACGGTTGCGTTGAACGTGTATACGTACCGCAACTTATAGATTAAGTTTCGTGTTAATCACTAATGGATATTTATTTTAATGAATAATATTGTAAAATTTATAAAAAGTAATTGCATTAAATACGTATCTAAGTGTTCGATAATTTAATATTTCAATTTATTTTATATTTTTTGTTGTAATTGTTAACTTTATAATCTAGAAAATTTTTCTTATAAATATTATAATAAAAAAAAAAAAACGTTAGTACAGTATTATTATTTAACGGGCAAATTGGAAATATCCTTATCTGGGAGGAAGGAGAAATTTGTATAGGTATAAATTTTAATGAGTGTAAACATATTATGATTGTATCGAATGGTTCTTAAAATTTTGGTATTTTAAATAATTTATGAATAAAACAATTTACTGACCGAAAGATGATAGTTTGATTTTGGCCAAGATCAGTTCCGCTCTATGATCAATTATGTTGCAATGTAGTGACGACAACCGTCAACTGTTGCAGGAAACTATTCGAGACTGGCTTGCGAAATCCAATTTGTGCGGTCCATGGGATACTACTTAATTCAGATCTATATACCAAGCGGGCTGATCGTCATTATATCGTGGGTAAGCTTTTGGCTAAATAGGTGCGCGACACCCGCCCGCGTCTCGTTGGGTGTTACCACTGTGCTGACCATGACTACGCTCATGTCATCCACCAATGCTGCACTGCCGAAGATATCTTACGTCAAGTCTATCGACGTTTACCTGGGCACGTGTTTCGTCATGGTTTTCGCTTCACTCTTAGGTGAGTGGTTACACTATGATATTATTAATACTGTATACTGTTGATGCCATATGATCGGTGATAAGCTTTTTGCTTACCGTATTTATGTTTTCCATACTACCACTGTTATAGTGGTAGGTATTGTTTTTATATTAATTTAATTGCGCTATGATGTTTTTAACGTATTTTCATAAGGTTATAAATCCTAACTTCCACGAAAATTAAATAAAAAAAAATATTATTGGGCTAAGCTTTTTTTTATCTGATGACATTTTATTTTTTATTTTTTTACTTCTTATGCCCCCCCCCCATGTAGTATGCCGTGTATCTCTTTTTTTTACTTTTCTTAGGTTTTAACATAACTTATACACCTGTTTAAACCACATAACTAGAATAATAGAGGTTATTAATACTAAAACGTTTGTTTGATTTCTTTTTATTTCAATGTTTGAATACCTAGTTACAACCAGCGTTCAAAATCCAAAACCTGATAAAATTATCTCAGTAAATACCCCAATTAATAATAATATTATTATACTGATCACATGTTCTCCTCCACAGTTGTAATTTTTCTATTGTTATTTTAATTAAAATAATATTATAACTGTATAATATAATATAATAATTTAATTATATTTTGTATTAATTATTTTTAAAAATCATATCGCTTACATGAAGACTCTAATTTCCAGTACACTAATCTAAACCTTTCATGATTGTTTATTTATATGACCTTACGGATAATTTCAAGCGGAATAGTTAGATTAGGTTAGGTTACTTCCTCTTCCAGTACTTTAAAGAATATTGGTACACTCAGACATCGATATTGCTCTAAAACAAATGACTCCTCAGTAATAAACATAAATAATGATCTTTCGAACAAGTCATAAAAAATATCATTGATGGCATCGATAAAGCTTTCTGTTGATGTAAAATATAGTATTAAACATGCACTACCATCCAAACCCAAACAACAATCTTACAAGACAGCGAAATAATGTTACCACACCTCCCGTACACTATATATATATTTACCAAATACAATACAAAATTGTACTCTCGGCGACAACTTTGAGTCATTATTATAACAGCTATGGCAGATAAACACATCTGTTGGGTCATCATAAATATAACAACCGTTTTAAAACCACGTCTATATCGAACTTCATTATGGATACCATATTGTTTACCTTTGATGATGAAGTTAAAATGTTTGTCTCTCTCACCGACCAATTAACGGTCCAGAGTGTAATTAGTTTGCATATCAAAGCCCGCATAATGTTGAGCACATCTGAAACAAACACTCATCACTTCATACAAAACGCCATTGGTCACTTCTGTTAATTTATCACCGGAAATTTGTTCAGGATGAATGATACATCATCAAAATAATAATCATTATTAAAATTTCATCGCTGGGAATAATTAATTATCAACTGTATACGGGATATTTATTTGTGGCCTACTTAATACAGTAGCTTGTACACCACTTAATATTTTCTCTAATGTACGGTAAAAAAAAATTTAATATTTTTCTGTGCATACAATTTATCGCATATTCGCATAACAAAAAATTGGCTATCAAGATATTATATATTTTTGTACTAGTTTTTGGTTCCCATTGCAAATGTAACACAAAACACGAATATACTATATAAAATCAATGAAAAAAATAACCAATATAATTTGAATAACGATCAAAAAGTTAGACAATTTTTTTTATATCTAATATTTATATTTAGTAAAAAATTGGAACATTTTAAATTACTTTTCCACGAATAATATTGTTAACACAATATGAATTCGACTGTACGCTATTATTATTATTATTAATATTATTATAATTTTACTGTTATTATATCCAATTTTTAACCGGAAACGATTGCTGTTGGATTTTACAGAATATGCTACCGTAGGGTACATGGCTAAGAGGATACAAATGCGGAAGAATCGCTTTTTAGCAATACAAAAAATTGCCGAACAGAAGAAAGGTGGTGGTGGTGGAGGAGGCGGTCACTCCGCTCACGACGGCCACTCGCACGCCCATTCTCAACATTCATCACGTCACGGTCACGGTCATGGCTCGATATCCGGTCACAGCACCTTGTCTGGACACGGTACCCTATCCGGCGGCCACGGGCTCCAGTCTGGCCATGGCACCCTTCCACACGGTATGTCCAGCCATGGTTTGGCGTCGCATGGAACCATGTCCAGTCATGGTTACGATGGTGGAGGTCACCGGCACAGTCACATGAGCCATACCGGCACGTTGTCAGGATCGCTGATGGTCGGAGACCTGGACCACACGCCTCGACAAACCGTAAGCGTCGCAAATGTTTATGCCCATTTGAATTATTTAAAAAAACACTGGACGTGTTAATGATATAGTTTATTAATTTATGTTCTATAATGATAGAGCATATCAACAATCGAATTTACTAGTCCATTTTTTTTTTCTAACAATGCAGTCACTTAAAACCCAGTCTTGGAATTTTCGGAATTAACTTATAAAAAATATTCGTATTAATTTAAAAAATGCAAAATTTGGTTTTTAAATGAAAACTTCCATTTTCTATTGTGATTATAATGATAATCATTTTGAAAATGTTGAAATATTTAAATCAAAATTCGAATTACAAGTTTTTGAATTTTTGAGTTGTTTAACATTGTGTGATAAGGGAATACCCTCAGGTCTGTTATAATGATTTTTAAAATGTGAATGTAATGATTTTAAAATAATGTGTTTTGTATGTGTATGTGTCTGTCAGTGTATCTCTGCGTGTCTGTATGTGTACACGATAATTATTTATCTTCAATTTTTAACTTTGGTGTCATGATTTGCGAATTTGATTTTGCGGTTGATACCGAGTTGTGGTCAGGATTAAGATAGGTAAAACAAAAAAAAATCCTTGTTGCGGTCGGAATCTAAACAAATAAAAAACAAAATTTAGTTACGGTTAGGAAATATGATTAATGTTAATTATTAATTAAATATTAATCATTGTTGATTATTATGTTTTAAATATTGATGTATAGTTACATATTATTGTGCGACGGTTAAATTCAAAATACAAATTTATAGATACACTTACACATTCCGTAATAATATATAGTTACATTTAAAATACAAAATACACATTTATCAAATAAAAATAATAAATATATAATATTATAATGAGTTATATTTATAGATACGCTTTTAACAAACGTCAGCGAGACAATTTTTTTATTCAAATACTGTTTAATTTTATTTTTAATAAACTTTTGACTTATGCTTTCACATTTTTTATTGGTTTCCATAAGACGTACTAAATTGATTTTTGTATATGTGTCAATATGAGTTTTTTAGTTAAACTTAAAAAATTCAAATATATTGAGATGTGGCGATCGGTTTTCAGTTTTGAATGTAGAATTGAACACTTCACTTCTATTATTCGTTCTCCAAACATAATTGTTCAAAGTTACCAAATTCAGTAACTCTTAAATCTATAGGTTTTTCGGCGATTAATTTCAAAAACACATTCCCCACTTAATCTGGAGGAAGAAAAGTCAATTCAACAACGTAGTGCAATCAGTTTTCATTTACCGAGTTGTTATTTTGTACTCTATAGTCAGTCCTAATAATTTAAAAATTTTTCTACACCAGGCTTGACAGAAATGAAATCTGCATCCAACCAAAGTGGTGTTCGGGATTTTTTTTCTTGCAGTTTGAAGAATTCCTTTTTCAAAATCTGAAAACTATATGTTGTGATTTAAATATTAAATTTCCAAACATTTACTTTTTAGCGTAAAAATAACAATTCTGTACGATAATTTTTTCTTATCTTTTAATAAACTAAGTGCAATAAGAACATATTTATTATTTTTGAAACCAATTACTGTAAACATCTGCTGAAAGAAATTTACACAATAGTCAAAAGTGCTATCCACAAAGATAATTTCAACACTGCACATGAATTTCAAATTATTTTCACAAGAAAATATTATTAAATTGCATGATTTATCGTTTAGTATAACTAAATTTTTTCCTTTCGTGAATATCACTTCGTCCATATACAAATAATCATGTACTTCATCCACACATTTCGGTAATTTTGGTAACTTTTGTAATTTAGCATGATTAATATTTTTCCCTAAAAATAAACTTTATATTACTTATTAAAATTTACTTGATAATATAATATTATTTTTCTTATAGTATTATAGTATTATGTAAAATATTAATATATAAATAAGTAATTATTTCCAAAATTAATGAATAAAAAACCTAATTTAATTTATTTATTTACCTATGCGAATCATGTCTCTGCCTGTTAATTTATTCAAAATATTAATATATTTTTCCGCCTCTAGACCAATTATTTTCCTGGTTTTTCCAAAAATGATAATTCATTAGCCTTGTCTGTTTAATATTTGAATAGGATCTGCTTGGTGATTTTTATGATTATTTTTATTATTAAAAACACAGGTTCGATTATCTATAGTTATGCATTACAATTTTTATTGGTACAATAAAAAGATTTTTTTCTGTTTTTAGAGGACGATATTGTCTAAATTTAAAATGATTTAATAAACGTAAAATTTTTCCCTTTTCACAACACATTATCGAAATTAGTGAGATTTTAAAAATTAAAGTCAATTTAACAACGTCTTGCATTGAACTTTGACCAACTGCAATTTGGATAAGAGCTTATTGGATAATCGATAACCAAATAAGAACCGCAATTAAGACGGTAATTTTACCTTCAATGATATTACAACCGCAATTCGTCTATTGCGATCACAAATCAAACAGTACCAATTTTGCACATTGATTTATAAATAAAAAAAAAAAGTCAAATAGGTAGTGCTTTCACTGAATGGTTTCTTCTCTCTCGTAACCCATATTAAATCCTCATTACCTATAACATATGATTATTGTGCCTAAGGGCAAAAATTGTATATTTTAACTTTTAGTGTGGTTTTGGATAAAAATAAAATAAATATTGTACTTTGATGAGATCAAAATTAAAAATATCCAGTCTTTTTTTATAATCTGGGAAAAACAACAAAATGAAACGACAATGTTTATGCTAAACTAGTTCTTTTTTTATAAATATCGATAAAAATTATTCACTGGGTCAAAATTCTTGAAAATTTTACAAAAGTTGTTAAAAAATATATTAGGTACCTCGATATATTTTTACACGCATTTTAAGTTAGAATTTCGACAATATTTTTCAAAATTATAAGAAGTGACTATAAGTATTTAGTAGTTAAAAATTCATAAAAACTTTTTTTTAATATCTTTGTACTGAAAATTTAATAAGATATTTTTTATAAGTAATTTATACCAGAGCCATAAAATCTTAATAATATATAAAAACATTTTTTTTTTTTAGACAATTTAAGTTTGAATTTCGACAAAATTATTTATTAAAACGATAAATAACGTTGTTAATTATTTAGTTATAACTTAAAAACATTAATTTTGGAACTTCAAATTTTTACGTATATTTTATTATTATAAATAAAATTAATTTAATTTAAATTTAACTTTACAAAATTATATTTACGATTTATTTAAATATATTTTTTTACTTATGCTATGAATCTATTTTTGCTTTTTAACAGTATTCACAAAAAAATAGTAATATATTTTGAGTTGTATAAGCTTATTTAATAAGGTGAAAAAATATATTATTTTAGTAATCAAATATTAATAATAAAACAAATGCAATATTTTCGGAAAAATGTATATTTATCTATTGTGATCGATCTTCGATTATGACATAAGTTGCGGTGCCCCTTGTAAGTGATTCCCGTTTGTTCCAGGAGGTGCGATTCAAGGCCCATGATCCAAAAAATTACCTCAAGGGGGGATCACTAGAGAACACCATCAATGGCCGCGGGGACGACGACAACATCACGCCCATCCCCACACAACATGTCATGCACCCTAATAAGGATATCAACAAGCTTTACGGCATTACGCCCAGCGATATCGACAAGTATTCGAGGATCGTGTTTCCGGTGTGCTTCATCTGCTTTAATCTTATGTACTGGATTATATACCTACACATCAGTGACGTGGTCGCCGACGATCTGGTGCTACTAGGCGCGGACTGAACTCATCGGTCACCGTGTTTACCGGATCGCCGTTTTATATACCTACACACACACACACAGATATATATATATATATATATATATATATATATATATTATTACTTAAATGCGATTAAATAATCTTTATTGTACACTTAGACTTAGTGGTGGTGATAAGAGCTCAAAGAAATACAAATTCCGTTAAAATTAAATATATATATATATATGTATTATGTATATTGTACTATACGATATTTAGTAGTCTTAATGCAATTATTATTATTAAATTTTGTCGTACTACGTATGACATAATATTCTCTATATTATGTATATTATGATATAAGTCTATAGACAGGATCGATCTAACACCTGCAGGGTTTTTCACAGATTCTCATTCGCGTAGAACTAGACTACGTTATAATAATAATATGATATAATTTATTATTATCAAGTAAATCAGAATAACAATTAACATATATTATTATAATTATTATTATGTTGAGCGATATGTTGATCGGGTGACAATGATTTCATTAATTGTATTCGATGGACGTTGAAGGTGTAGCATTTTGATCATCGCGTTCTCAAAATTGTTGATCAAAATATAATATTATTTTAAAATTATTTTATAATTATGATGGTACACCGGGCACTTCCGCGGCGATAACCTCGTTTATTCAAGTGAAATTGATTTCTCGTTGAATGTTTCCAGTAATGATAATATTTATCCGTCGTTTTCGTCCGAAAACAACGAAATTCACGAAAAACTATAGCAATAATTATACGCCAATGAACAATAAACAATAATTTGTAACGCGAGAGCAATAATATTTTGACAATATTACATTGTGGTCGTCGACGCCGGAAACGCCCAAAACGGAGACTGATATGAATAATTATTATGATGATAAAATTATATACTGAAATCTATAACTTATATCCCTTGGTTGGTGAATAATTCATCAATTAATATTATTTTTCCAAAAGCGTGATAATAAGAAAATTAATAATAGTATGTGTTATTAAAATGCATGTACTCTGTACTCATATATAAAAAATTAATACTTATAGATGACAATACTTATAACATTTTCAACAACTATTTAAACCAATATTAGCTCACAATACATAATACATAATATGTATAGATATTATTTTATAAATAATATAAGATTATTAATATAGTTATATATGCATTTTATAATATGTACGATAATGTCTATGTTTAATTTAATGCTTGTACAGAAATATCATCATAATAACAACATTTTAAAACAAAATCGAATGCAAAGTACATACCAAAATTCATACTCGCAATTTATTCCGATAAATTGTTCGCCAAAATAAATTCGTCACTAAAAAAAAAAGAAAACCTCTTACCCAATAATAAGATAATGCATAGGTTTAACTGTCCATGCATTATTCATATACAGGGTGGTTTACAGGGCATGCTTGTCCCCATTTAACAATTCATTTATAAAAGTTCTTCTGATTTTTAAAAATTTTTAATTCACTTAAAAACTATATTGTCATACTTTTGCAATTTTGTTAATTAAGTAAGATGTTTCGTAAGGTGATACAGAATTTTGTTTTCCAAACGAGAACCCACCATGGGCACCATGTATAGTATATTATTAAACAGATGATTTTTTTTGAAAATGTTATGATCTACCTAATTCAAAATTAGAAAAAAGTTTACAAATATATGAAATTCCTGTCATTTGTTTGTATTTTACTTCAAAATTCTTAGGATAAGTAAATAATTTACTATAGAGGGAAGGGTGGATAATTCTCGTTTGAAAAACAGAAGTTTGTATCTCCGCAGAACAGTCTTTAATAATAACACAAAAAATCTGAATTATTAGTATTTAACCTTAAAAATATGGGTTTTAAATATATTTAATAACTTAAAAAAGAGATTTTAAATAATTGCATTAAAAGAAGAAGAAAGAGGCGAGCATGCTTAATTAATCATCCTGCATAATCATAGTTACAAAGTGTGCAAAGATTTTTAGTAATACGTTTGCCTTCAGTTTATGCACTATCATACTAAACGACTCCGTATACCTAAGTGAAATGTACGTATTCATTATTATAATATATTTAATATTTAATATGTGATATGTGTATCATCGTATTTCCATAGTCGCGAAATGCACCTGCGACTGTTAATGATTATTATTATTGTAAAATAAGTACTAAAATTCTATTATATTATTATTATTACGTTAAGTTTATGTTAGGACTGAAATTATGAAGATTAAAGCAATTTATGTAATAATTATTATTATATTATAATATTAAAAAAAGTCGACTATTTGTAGTGTTTTATACTGAAAAAAAATCTATATATTATACATTACACTAATTTATTATTATGTATATGACATGTGTACATACAAAATACATACTTAACAGTAGTTATTAAATAATTAAGGTAATATTTATATAAATATATATATATATATATATTTATTTATTTATATATAGCGTTGCCCAGTGATTAGCTCATTGTTTCACAGTGGCATATTTTAGTTTATATACAACTTATATATTATTATAACATGTATAGGTTCTATAATTACGATTGTATTGTAATATTAAGAGGAGACGAAAACGAGTATTGAAATAATTAGTGATAATGGTAAGACATATTTTTTTTTATTTTTTTTTGTTATTGATTCCCAATATTATATTATTATTATTATTATTTGAATAGGTATCGCCGTTCTCAATTCTCAAAATTATTTTTATAAGTCGCAAATTATATATATATGTACTATTATTAATATGATAATATTATATCCACGTGTACAAAACTAAATACTTAGAATAGAACGTGATGTGAAAATAATCTGAATATATTTGTATGCGCGTGCGTGTGGTAGGTATGTGCGCATGGTGGTGTACGCCCATACACTACCAAATATACATAATTAATTATTTACTATATAAAATGTGTTTATGTGGCGTTTTATGCGTATTAATAATAAAATATATTAAATTAAGGCCGATTGGACATTATAAACAGTGTTCGTAATCGGCGGTATTATATGATATTATATCGAGAATAAATAAAAAATTAACAATACTATAACGAAACGTACAATAATATATATTATAATACGATTTGAAGTACGCTTTATTTTTCTATAGGTAACAATACGATTAAATCACAAAATTTTCCAATTGAATTTTATGACGGTTTTTGCTTAAATATTGGTAATAGTAATGTAATATAATTTAAATAATCGCGTGGTCGTTGAAGTAATTTCACTTGGTTCGTAGCGACCAACCCAAATTGAACGCTACACTGTGACATGTGATGGAATTAGTAAAACTATAATAATGCCATAATCACGATTTGTAAAAAAAAATCCGTTTGAAAAAAAAAAAAATTAACTTTTAATTTCGTTAACGGAAATATAAATTCTGAAAATATCAACCTTCCACACATCCTAGTCCGACCACAAACCAAAATGCTGTCAGAAAACAGCATCTATCTCGATTTAAAAAAAAATCTAGCCCTTGTAATCTTTTTCTTGTAACTCAAAATTAAAAATGTGAAATCAAAATATATTATCAAGAAAAAACTGGTCGTCAGCGATGTCCTATGTAGTATTATAACAATATGATCTGGAATGCAACCATCCTGGACGACAAAAAGTAAACTCAAATCGTATTTTATATGTATTAATTTGTTCATCTTTATACCAATATTACCTATATAATGATAATATTATGTACCCACGTTGTATAATGTGTTGTTACAATAACTACAATGGAATTTTGTTATTGTATATTATTAAATACGATATAATATTATATAATATATTTATAAGATATCGCAAATGTTTAGACATTAATAAATTATTTAACGAAAATATTTTTAAAAGCACTTTCAGATTGTGATTCGCACATTTTAAACGATAATACAATTTGACTTCCTTAGTGTTTAAATCAGCAAACGGTAGCGTGTTGTTATTTAAAAAGAATGAAAAAAAAAAAAATGAAAAAACTAAAAAAAATTGTAAAAAATGTGAAACTACCGTCGTATATTCTAAATCTCGTTAGGTAATAATAATATTATTATATTATATTAAACTGTTATTATTTTAAGTTTTTGTAGTCTATTATTGTAAAACCGTTATTCGTTTGCGTTCATAAATAACATAATAATAATAATAATAATATATTATTATTATTATTTGTATTCTATGATAATAATATATTTATATGTTATATTATGTTTCCCCTTATTTATGCCAATAATAATTATTAATTACATACAAATAGTTTATACATTATTATTATTATATTGTTTGTTTTAATTGTATGCTTCCGTTATTTTTTTTTCATTCTTTTTCTTTATCAAATTATTATTATTATGACTAATATTATATATAATATACATACATATATGTGTGTGTGTGTGTATATTATATATAATATTTTACACGTCGATTAAGTTACAATAAATATAATTAAATACTCAATTGAAGTGTATGAAATAATTATATTAGTCAACTGAATCTCAATACGCTCAATAAATATGGTGAAGCAAATATATGTTTTGTTCTTTCGTTTGGTTTTTGTGAGCCTATTATTCTTTCATTTATCTACATAATATAATAATAATTTCTCCATTAAATTGAAAATAGTTCATGATATAAAAATATTCTGTATAATTTATAATAATTACAGTAAACACTCCACAAAATATATAGTATTATGACATTGACAATAATAATATTATGTAAAAAATAAATAAATGAAAAAATTCCCATATTATGTATAAAACAATGTTTATTAGGTATTTATTTTAATTTATTTAGGTGGCTAAGAGTGACAACGATATTAATTTATAATACAATATATTATAATTGATGAATGATCGTAGGTTAATCGAAAATATTTTTTACATATTATATAAAATACAAGATTATAAATTATTTACAATTAAATTTCTGTGGAAGTCATGTCCATGTACCGTTGTACCATGAAAATGTTTTTTTTTTTTAACTTAAAACATCAATTATAACTCAAAATAATTAAATTAATCTCCAAAAAATGTTATTACAACGACGCTTTAACTATAATATTATAATAGTAATTTTATTATGAATCAAAATAAATAGATTTACAAATTTTTGTCAAAAAAAAATTTATAGATAATAAAATAATATAAATATTTCTTATTAACATAACTTTATTGATATGTATCATGCATGTATGAATCTAGTTTGTTTTAAATCAATTTTTTTTTTAA